ATATATATATATATATATATATATATATATATATATATATATAAAACATTGGGTAGGAAGGTCAATTTTTTGTAAATATAATAATAACTACACATATTTCACGCAAAGTAGTAAATACTTATGTTTATAGAATTTAAATAAAATGTTTTGTTTTACGATTTAAATTTATTTAATACTTCACATTTTTTTATGTAAACTAGACATACTATAATGCAGAGAAAAATTATTTCTTAAGTTTATTAATTTGTAACAGAAAAGATTGTAACCAAAGCCATTAATTTTTACTTGTACTAGGTTCACATTGTTTTTTTTCTCGTTTACTCTGTTCCATATTGCGTCTACTGATATAATCTACAAAGGATTCTTCTTCTTTTGTTTCATCCTCTTCTTGTCGTGCGTGTATGTCCTCCGTTCCATCCTCGTCTTCGCTTGATTCATTACCTGGATGTTTCAGATAGAGTTCTGAGATTTCGCGACCACTGTTGACCGTCGCTACGAAAGGTACAGCTTCACCTATTCCACTTTTACTAGCGGCCTCTAATTGTTCATCTTTTTCATTGTTTCGTTGAGCTTCCTTCATCTTCTTTATTTTTTCAAAATCTTTTCTGTAATCACTTTAAGAAAAATATAAGCTATATTGATGTTTATGTCACAAAGGATTGTATAATGTATTGTTGTCAATGAATATAACAATGTTTTCAAAATAAATAGGTTTACCTTTCATATTTCTCCACAGCATCATTAACCAACTTAAGAAAATCATTAAATCCAGCACCTGTTACCGAAGAAACACCACAGCATTGCAAAGTTTGATAAAACTCGTCAAGTGTGAGTGACATACTCCGTGTTAAGTTGCTGACATAAGAGTGTTCCATATCGAGTGCTTCCTGAAAGGCCTCAAAATCTTGTATCCAATCAAGTGCATAATGATGATCAACAATATCAATCTGAAATATATAAATTCAGTTATGATTAATTTTACATAATCAGAAATTATACACATATTATTTATAAATGTTCATAATTATTTAAATCCAGTTACCTTGTTCATAACTACAATAAATGGCAATTTGGTTTTGTAAAGTATAGAGCAAGCATACAGCATGTTGGACATAAATGTGACTGGATTAACACTTCTCACACTATCCACTACATATACAATAACAGTTGGAAATTGGGAAGCTAATCCTTCTGATATAATTGTGCCACTGGCTGACCATGTAAAGACTTCAATTTGCCCTGGTGTGTCCAAAATTGTACAACTGTGATCTTCACTGGCTTTTTCAATAAGATCTATTACTTGATCAAACTTTGTGGAAAAAAGATTTAATGTTGTGACTATGGCACCATTTGGTCCGAGATTGTATTGTTTCATCACTTCTTTATAATTTACAGTGTCTCTTATATCTGAAAGGAAACATAACTCTTTGAAACAATTGGATATATTGAATATAACATAATTTTCGCACATTATATAACCATAGATACCTATGTTAGCAGGATATGGAACTTCTTTACAAGCAGGATCTAAATTAATGACATATGGTTTCGTCTCATTGTACAATTTAGACACTAGCCTTTGCACAAATGTTGTTTTGCCAGAACCAGCCATTCCAAGTACAATGATACATGGTATCCTTTTATCTGTGAATTTTTTTATATGTTGATCCTTTGTTGTACATTCAGTATCAGTGCTATCATGTTTTTCCGTAGTATCTAAATTATCTCTCTCTTTGGATTCAGACATATTTATCAATCTGTAAGATAAAATAAAGAAAAAATAAATGAATAAATAAAACGTGTGATCACAGATCTTAATTATAAATTATATAGATGTATATATATTTACACATTTCTTATTTTTTAATATATAATGTAATATAATAAAAATTGTTGCTCGACACTATAAGTCACAAACTATTAAAATAATATCCCATGATTTGCATTGTAATATAAAAAGAATTCTACGATTTCTTATCTATTGTCAGAGGAACTTATAAAAAAATAGATTGTAACCACCTTGTTTACAGCAACATATACTACTAAACTAAAAATGTGCTAACAGCGTATTTGCATTTTAGCTAATATAGCACATAGTATACGTTTCTACGCTGCATGCATTTAAACTACGGGTGCTTTCCAGCTACGTTTATTGTGTTACACAAAATCAGTTTATTGGTTGCATATTGGCCGGTATTCATAGTCGGGTGTATATCAGTTGGACACGGGGCAATTGGACAAAGTCCAATCACAAGTCGCTGTTCCAAGGGACCCTACAAATGTCTCTAATCACACGGTGCTGTGATTGGCTGTGTCTAAATGCACCGTGTCCAAGTGCACCGCTCCCTTCATAGTCGGGTCTTATTTTTAAGACTGCTTAAGTTCATCTTCAGATACTCCGTAACCAATGAAATAATCCGTTCATTATCTGAAGATAAACTTAAGACGGTTTTAAATATAAGATCTGACTATGAATATCGGCTATTATCTTACAAGCTATTTTAGATAATATGTGACCAATAAATTGCTTGTGTAACATAGCTGAGGAGGGGAGCGTCTCGATTGACCATGGTACGATTGGACATAACCAATACAAAGAATTATCTAGTGAATTACCAAGTCGAACCAATTATTACAATCTGTGTCCAATTATACCGTGGTCAATCGGGTCCCACTCACTGGAAAACATCCTACATTGCTCCACTGAGCTATTGGATCTGTTTGGTGTTTACTTTCAGATCTCATCAAGATTTAAAAGTACAAACCAATCAGATCCAAAAGTCACTGAATTTAGTGAACAATTGCGCCCATTCAGTACTACAATCGCTCATTGAGCGCTCAGTGAGCTCTTACATCCCATTGGCATATTCTTTTAGATCTCAAAATATATATCAATCAAATGTAAGAGCTTAGTGAGCGGTGTAGTACTGAGTACCCAATTGGTAATACTGAATAGGTACATCCAGAGGTGCGTTCGAAAACTCCACCCGGCTTCTCCTCTCTCTTTGGGTGTTTACCTTAGGCTGCGTTCAGATTCCCCACTCGGATATATTCTATTACTAGAAGTGCTATAGTATATGTGACATAATAGGTTTGTTCTTTCGACCTGAACTGACTGCACTAGTTCAT